ATACTTTGTGATTAGCCTTTCCCCTCGATTAATAGTGAGCTTAAACATTTTTCCATGTTCATTACCTAGATATATTTCCTCTTTGCTTACTCAGTTTCTTTGCCTATTTATATACTGAAGGTGGAGGTCTTTTCGGCTATTTAAATTTTAAACATAACCATTTACCATATTTTAACAACTTTTCTGTTTTTAAAAAATTGATTTTCTTACAAACATAAAATCTTTATATAGATATATCTGTTGACTTTTTGTGATTTTTATTGCTTCTAAGCTTATATTCTCCTTTCAGATGTTACTCAGTTTCAATTCTTCCATTTTGGTTATTACCTGGTTTTACATTTAAGTCCTTAATCCACTCCGCCTTTAATTTGTGAAAGGGTAGGAAGTGAGATAACTGAATAGCTTATTTTCAAATTGCTAACCAGTTATCCCAACATATTTATTGGATTCTTTCCCACTCTCAAGTTATGATGGCTCCTACATCACATACTAAAGTTATTTTATACTTAAATTATTATTCTATTTCAATAAGTCTCCCTATAGTAACAATTTGAACTATCATAGTAGGTTTTAATAGTTGGTAGAGCTAAGTCCCCCTCATTATTCTTCTGTTTTAGAATTTTCTTTGCTATTTCTCCTCAACATTTGAAACATTTTGTCAAGTTTCAGTGCATATTTATTGACTTTGGTTTTTTTTTTTTAAGTATGCTCCACACCCAGGGTGGAGCCCAACGCAGGGCTTGAACTCACGACCCTGAGATCAAGACCTGAGCTGAGATCAAGAGTCCAATGCTTAACCCTTTAACCCTTCGTTTTTTTTTAAGTTAAAAAAAATCTGGCACCAAGAGTAATACATATTTATTTTAGAAAATTCAAAAAATGAAAAACACCTAATTTCACTGCTGTTAGTTAAATCGCTTATGTACTAAATTATATGCCATGCGTTGTGCCAAGTGCTTACAAACAGGAACTAATTTTGTGTTTAACCATCTAAGTGGAATAATTTTTTTCAAGTAGGAAAAAACCTAGTTTTATAGTAAAGGAAACATACCATGCCTGTTTTACAGATGAAGGCATTTGCCCAAAATACCCAGGTGGTCAACAGAGCCAGGGTTTTAACCAGGCAGTGTTGTTACAAGAGCCTGTGCTGAACACTTTGTGATGCTGTCATTCCATCAGACATGATGATTATTCATATTTTGTTGTATCTACTTACAGTCTTTTACCAAGTGGGACATCCATGTACATACCTTGTGTGATCTTTTCACTTACAGATATGCCATGAACACTTACCTGTACCATATACCTTTCACAGTATTATTTTTCATGACCATTTAATATTCCTCATGTGCCTGCGGAACAAGGCATTTAATAAATAACTCGTTTCAGAATAATTTGTTTCCCATTTTTCCCTGAAGTTAACACTGCTGAGACGTACATTCTTTTTTTTTTTTTTTAGATTTTATTTATTTGTCAGAGAGAGAGGGTACAAGCAGGGAGAGGAGCAGACAGGGAGAGAGGGAGAAGCAGTCTCCCCGCTGAGCAAGGAGACCGAGATGGGACTCGATCCCAGGACCCTGGGATCATGACCTGAACCGAAGGTACAGGCTTAACCGACTGAGCCAGCCATGTTCCCTGAGATGTACATTCTTGAGGTTTTTCACACGTCCACAATTTTTTTATTATAAATTCTACAACTGGAAATGCTGGGCCGAATGTTCTCTATATTTTAAAGGCTTTTGATGTCCACGGTCAGTCCTCTGGACAGGTGATTCCAACGCGTGGCTCTAGCTGCAATAAGGGACGTGGCTCCCCCTCACCCCCACTAAGTCATTAGGAGAAACAAAACCTACCAATTTGGGATCGCCACGTGGATATGCATGGAAGAGTCCCTGATTCCACCTTCACTACCGACCACGGAGAAACGGCCCTTTTGCACGAGCACGCATTTGTGTAATTCACTGCAGCATTGTATGTAACACGGAAAGACGAAAATGAACCAAACGTCCCCTAAGCGGCCAGTGGCTAAATTAGCGGGCACCTCCACAATGCGGACCGTCCTGCAAGTGTGACGGGGAAGGCAGGACTGTACGCTCTCGCGCGGACGGCGGGACAGAGAGGTCCCCGCCGCCCGGTCGCCTGGGAGCGGGGCTGCTTTCGGGAGCTTCGGCTTCGGGATCGGCTTTTCCGATGTGCTCCGCCCTGGATTCTGCGGCAAGCGTTCCGTCTGGGCGAGCGGCGGAGGTCCGGGTTCGCGCCCTGGCCAGGCCCTAACTGGCAAGCCGATGCTGGCCGAGGTGACGCCCCGGCCCGGCCCCGCGGTCATAACCGGCCCGACCCCCGCGAGCCCGCCGCCCACCCCGGAGCTTTCTCCTAGGGGTGCAGGGAAGCCGGACTCTTCGCGGCCGGGCCCTTGGGCGCGGGGGCACGTTTCCGCCGGCCTCGCTCCGCAGCGCACCCAGCGGAAGTGGCCGTGTTGTGACGGAAGGAAATGCTTTGTGGGAGCTGCCGGCGGTGGGAGAAACGTGGCCGGCAAAGATGATTCAAGCGATTCTGGTTTTCAACAACCACGGGAAGCCGCGGCTGGTCCGCTTCTACCAGCGTTTCGTGAGTGCGGCCCAGCTTCGTCGCGTCCCTTCGGAGCGCCCGCGCTCCCCCTTCCTTCCCTTCGGCCGCTCCGGCCGGCTGACCACCTCGGGCACCTTGCACCGGGCGTGACCCTCCCACTCTTCACCCTCCTTGCGGGACCCGGGCGGCTGTCGGGCCGTCTGTCCCACCCCCGCGCTCCCTCACCCCTTCCTGGACCCCTGCATCTCTCTGCCATTTGGTGACACTTCCCCTTGGGTCTCAGGGCTCGCTAAAGGACGGTGGGGTGTGCCCCATTGAACACGCGACTGCTTGAAGTCCCTTTAATCTTGTCGGTCCTTAAGCGCGGTTGTAAGAGTAGGAAGACACATGCCTGCTTATGAAAGTTTTTGCTTTGGCTAGAAGATCTGGAGAAGTGCTTTCTTGGGCTTATTTTGCTTCATTGCTGGCCGGGACTGCCCAGGCACTGGATACCCTTCCTCCTGTAGAGTTGAAGAAAGTCAGTTTAAAAGCGGGAAGCGATGAGAAATTATAAATGCTACCGCGTGAGGGCTCAATAAATGATAATATAAATTTGAGTTTCCCCAGAAACTCCTCTGGGAGAACACAAACATCATTATTTGTCTCTTGCCCTCCAGCGTTGTATTTCTTCGTGGCAAGGTTTCAAAATGTTACAGACATAGCTGGTGAAACGAAGAGGGTAAAGAGTCAGAAAACTCCTGTTCAGGCCTCAGCTCACCTTTTTTACCCTGTGTCTATTGACCTTGTGTTTTTCCTCTTTTTTTTTTTTTTTTTGGTCAAATAGATACGAACAAAATAATTTTACCTTTTTCGTGGAATTTTTTAAGCTAGATTACATTTTATTAAATATTTTGAGATAAAACTTAACATTCAATAGAACCACTCAGTTTGTATTTGCATTTGTGTGTGTGAATTTTTTTTTTTTTAGGTGTTATTGAGAAATCACATACATATAGTTCACCTATTTAAAGTATACAGTTCAGTGGATTTTAGTACATTCACAAAGTTGTGGAACCATACCCATGGTCGATTTTAGGACATTTCCATTTCCCCAAAAAGAAGCCCCTATCCATTAGGAATCATTCCCTATTTCCTCCTAACTCCCTCAGCCCTAGGCAACCACTAGTCTACTTTCTGTCTCCCTCAATTTTGCCTATTCTGGACATTTCATATAAATGGTATACAGTATGTGGTCTTTTATGACTGGCTTTTTCCACTTAATATGTTTTTAAGGTTAATCCAGCTTGTAGCATGTGTTAATTCTTCATTCCTCTTTATTGCCGAGTTATATTCCGTTGTGTGGATATACCGTATTTTGATTGTCCATCAGTTGATGTTTCTACCTATGGCTCTTGTGGATAATGCTGCTGTGAACATTCATGTACAAGTTTTTATGTACACATATGTTTTCATTTCTCTAGGTTATAAACCTAGGAGTAGAATTGCTGGGTCATATGGTAACTTTATGGTGACCATTTTGAGGAATTGCCCAACTGTTTTCCAAAGTGGCTGCACTGTTTTACATTCCCATCAGTAATGATAGGAGTTTCAATTTTTCCACCTCCCTATCAAAATTTGTTACTATCTTTTTGACTAGAAACACTTTAGTGGGTATAAAGTGGATTCTCATTATGGTTTTAATTTCCGTTCCCTAATGACTAATGATGTTGAACATCTTTGCATGTCCTTATTGGCCATTTGTAAACCTTCTTTGGAGGACGTAGAATTTTTATAAGAACCATATTAGCTTGTGAGAGAAAGTTACTTTGAAAACCGCAGAGAACCAAAAACTATTGAGGGATTGTTAAAGTCATTGAGGCATGTAAGCAAGTGGTAGTTCACCTTTCTGTTGAAATTAGAAATAAGGGGCGCCTGGGTGGCTCAGATCATGATCCCAGAGTCCCGGGATGGAGCCTTGCCTATGGCTGGCTCACTGCTCCGTGGGGAATCTGCTTCTCCCTCCACCCCTCGTCCTGCTAGTGCGCTCTTTCTCAAATAAATAAATAAAATCTTTCAAAAAGAGAGAAATTAGCTTCACTGTTTCATTACCACTTCCCCTATGACTGCTGCCGCCTCCCCCTAGGGTCAGATAAAAGGCTTTAGTTTGAAAGATGTTTTTATCAGGTTAAAAAGTGCTGATACTTAGCATGTTTTATATTTCCAAGTACACAGAGTTAATCCTTTACACATCCTGGCATCAGTGAGCTTTGTGTCTTTAAATGGAAACCAGGAAAAGAGTAACTGATTGACTCAAACTTACAGTGACTAGTGATTAGCAGGTTTTCTTTTTTCTTTTTTTTATTAAGTTGGTTTATTTTTTTTTAAGGATTTATTTGTTTATTTGACAGAGCGCGCACGGGACAGCACAAGCAGTGGGAGCGGCAGGCAGAGAGAGAAGCAGGCTACCCAAGGAGTAGGGAGCCAGCCAGAGGCAGGGCTCCATCCCTGGATTCTGGGATCACGACCTGAGCTGAAGGCAGATGCTTAACCAACCGAGCCACCCAGGCATCCCATTAGCTGGTTTTCATTGATTGAGTAAATACTGAGAGCCACTGTTTATCCACGTTGAGTCAAAGTTATGAAAAATAATTTCTCCACAGTTACATTTTCCCTGTTTTTTTTGGTCTTTATTTTTACTTTTCTGTTTTTAAGATTTTATTTATTTATTTGACAGAGACACAGCGAGAGAGGGAACACAAGCAGGGGGAGTGGGAGAGGGAGAAGCAGGCTCCCCGCTGAGCAGGGAGCCCGATGCGGGGTCCCAGGACCCTGGGATCACAACCCGAGCCGAAGGCAGACACTTAACGACCGAGCTACCTAGGCGCCCCGTCTTTCTTTTAAATAACTATTTCAAACTAAAATTCAATGCTTTATTATTTTTTTAAATATTTTATTTATTTATCAGAGAGAGAGTGTGCACAATCAAGGGGAGCGGTAGGCAGAGGGAGAAGCAGGCTCCCCGCTGAGTAAGGAGCCTGATGTAAGACTCCATCCCAGGACCCTGGGATCATGACCTGAGCTGAAG